GGCACCGCAGCTCCACGGGGAGCTCTGGGGCCGATGCCCGCCGAGGTCTCACCAAGCTCTGAACGTCAAAAACGGCGGCAGAGCTTTCCAGAAAAGGGTGGCACTAGAGGGGAAGCAGCTGGAAAGAACAAAGTCAGCAGCTGGTGTATAGACACACTGGACAGGCTGACATACACACTTTTAGCAATGCCCAGTGGTCGACTGTTACTCCGTATGTCCTTTCTCTTTACTGTCTTTTCATCCTTTACATCATCACCTTTCACCCCTTAAACAGCAAAAGGAAACAAAGCACTGGCTCTTACATCCATTTCTAAGTAGCCAGAACCTTCAGTGTCACCTCCAGAAGGGCGGGTGCACCTGCTATCCCGCTGGCAAGGCAGGAGAGTGCCTTTCTGCTCATCAGGCTCAGAGCTTCCAGTCTAGTTCCAGCTCGGTTAAATTGAAAGGCAGTTGTTGCTAAGACAACTCAGAAATAGAGACAACAAAGCCAGGTAAGGAAGTAAAAAATGGTAAGGGTGGGAAATTAAATTTGTTAACTACAATAACATGACTTCTTTATTCTCTGAAAAGGTCCATAGTTTTGTTGTGAGTATGCTTTAGGATACAGGCTATATTGACCACATTCTTCTGAGAAAATGAGTCATGCTGTGTCCATGAGTTAAAAATGGTTGTTAAGAATCTACAATAAAGGTTTGCGACTAGAATGTCAAATGTATGGATACTACTAAGATCATTCTGCAGAACTGGCAGGTGGAAGCCTAAGGAATCTTCTGTTGTGGCAAACAGAAGAAATGCTGCCTCTACCCACCTTACAGCAACTTTGCTTTGTAAATCTGCGTGAAGGATTTGCTTGACCTAAGAGTCATCTGCCCTGGCTGAAGCCCAGGGCTCTGTTTAAACTTTGACAGAGGAATTCCATTACACTGCAGAAGAGCAGAGTCCTGTACAAAATGCACCTGATGCATGCGTGCACCTCCTCACACAGTGACAGGCTTGCAGCCAATGGATAGTTCTGGTTCACTGCTGAGATCCCACCTGACCATTCTGGCTCTCCTGACAACTTGGCATCTCTGTCCATGTCCTGGAATATCACCAGTGTTTCCAAGACAGCAGCAGCAGCACTTGCCCTCTGCTGCCTCCCAGAACAGCTCCCTGGGCTGGGCTACAACCACTTGGTAACTTAAATTTGATTTATTTGTAGGTCTCTTGATGTGAATTTTGGGGCTGTGCTTCATGTTTCCCAGGTGAGGAAGAACTGTCACTGCAGCTGCCTCCATGAATAGCAGTGATTAGACTGTTGTACATAGAGGGGTTTGTGTCTACTGTGGGGCCTGAAAGGACTGCAGTCCAAAGTCAATCCAAGAAATTACATGTACAGTCCCTTCATACTCTTGCTTTGACTCTCTTGTAAGCAGGAGGCAGTGAGGGCTTGGTTCCTCCAGATGTTTTTGTTCTTTGATCTACCATAATAGCCCAGCAAGACTCCTATGGAGTGAAATAATGATTTCTCTTGTTAGGATTCTGGCATTATTTTATTTTTTTCTCTCCTTCCCCTCCCAGATAGTTGCTCGGCAGATGATTGCACAAGGAGTGCCAGGGGCCATTGTGAATGTCTCCAGCCAGGCATCGAAGCGTGCACTGAAGGATCATGCTGTTTACTGTGAGTGTGTGCAGCTTTAGCAGTGCCCCTCTCAGGTTTGACCAGCTGGACACCCACAGTCAGCAAGCTGCCAGTTTTGGGCAGCGTGTTCCATAGCACCTCCAGACCAGGTGCTGTGCAGTTAAACATCTCCTCTTCTTCCCTGCTCATAAAGGTTCCACAAAAAGTGCTCTGGATATGCTGAGCAAAGTAATGGCAATGGAACTGGGACCCCACAAGGTAGGAGTCTGTGAGAGAAAAGTGTGAAAGCTGAACCTGAGCACAAGCACAGCAGCTGGATGAGACTGTTTGTTGTTCCTGGTCCCAGATTAGGGTGAACACTGTGAACCCCACCGTGGTTATGACTGACATGGGGAGAATTAACTGGAGTGACCCTCAGAAATCTGCTGCCATGATTAATCGGATTCCCCTGGGAAAGTTTGCAGGTCAGTGATATATGTGTCCCCCCAGGCTGTGCTTTCATGTTTTCTCCAATCCTGCCTTCTCACTGACATCACAGCTGGAAGTTGCTGATTTTTGGGCAAAGTGATAGCTCTGCTGAATGCCTTTTAGCTGAATTCCTGCAGTATTTGATCAGGACAGGGTGAGAATCAACCCTCCTCTCGCTTTTTCTACAGCCTCCTCATCCTGGGACAAGTGAAATGAACTTGCTCTATTGTTCATAAACCTGACAGAGTGTTTGCTGTCACCTAAGCGCCATTTGATCACAAGGACACTTTGATGTCCAGCTCTCAGCCACACTGTCCCAGACACTTCATCAAGCACAGTTTGAAGGCAGAAACATTTTCCAGCTCTAATTACCTGTAGATGTCAAAGGCAGACCTTTTTAAGTGCTTCTTTTTCTGATACACTTTAGGTGGGCATCATATGTTCTCTGTGTTTGATTGCAGAGGTGGATGATGTGGTGAACAGCATTCTCTTCCTGCTGAGTGACAAGAGTGCTATGACAACTGGCAGCTCACTGATGATTGACGGGGGCTTTCTTGTCTCCTAAGATGACACCTGCATTTCACACCTGGCCTCAGTTTTTATATTAATACTGCCTAGATGTAAACTGGATAGAAAACAATGACTCACTTCTTGCTGAAGGGGCAGCAGGGCTGAAGACTGTATTAGAAGTGAGGCAGAAAATCAGCTTTGCAAGGCTGCTATATAATAAAGCTCACATACACCTTCATGGAGAATGTTTATTGCACCAAATAAGGTTTTATCTTGTCACTCTACATGATGATTAGAAATTGGACCTCTCTTCCAACCCTGTTCCCCCCCCACAACCCTTCAGAAGCTCTCCCTGTTCCATTCAAATCCAGAGTCTGTCTGAATTTTCAGTGGGAAGGGAAAGAAGTTAGCAGACTCCTCACTGCTTCCTTTGTTGTCTTTAGTAGAAAAGAAAAAAAAAAAATAGAGGCAACAACCCCAGCCCTGCTCTGCAGAGACTGGATTTTGGGGGGAGGCCCTGCTAAAGACTAATGGGGGGAAGCAGCACCATGCTGTCCTAGGGTGTGCACACACAAAAAGGCAAATGCATTGATTGCAGAGCTGTTTCACTCACAGAGTTTGGCTAGTACCCAATAAAGCACCTCATGATTCATTTTTCAGCTTCTCATTTACTCTGACCCCTTCCAGGGCTGGTTATGATTTTTCTAACAGTCTTAGGAACACTCTGCTAGAGCACCAATTTGTTAACTGTTAGCCACAGCAGGCTGGGCAAGGAGACCCTGCCATCCTCCCAGCTACTCTTGTCTTTCAGCACCATTGAAATCAGCTCCCTCCCTACTCCCACCACGATGTTCACCACCTGTTTCACCTGCAGGTTGAAAACAGGTGTTTCCAGAACAGGATGGATGTCTCAGCCCTTTCCACTTGGAGTTCAGGAGAGCCAAAACAGCTTGTTGCCTGAAGGAGCTACCTTGCCTTCCCCGCTGTACCTCCCCTGGGGGCTGTATAGTCCCCAGCTGGTCTCCTGTCCCCACTGCCCCTTCACATCAACACTGACGTTAAATCAAAGAGACATTTAAAAAACACTGACTTCGTACATGATGAAGGGCCCTACACATCCCAGCCCCCTTCAGAAACACCCAGCTTAATATGCAATCTGTCAGAGGATGACAGCATGCTGAGCCAACACCAAGGCCACAGCCCTCAAAACATGGTACACTTTTTGCCAGGCTTCTTCACAGGCGGTGGGCAGAGCACAGCCCGGATGGCTTCATCAAACACCGTCTTCAAGCCCCGCTGCGTCAGGGCAGAGCATTCGAGGTACTTTACTGACCCTGGGGAAAGAGAGCTGCTGCTCAAGCACTCCAGTTCCACCAGCACGCGCTGTCGCTCACCCGCTCCCCGCCTGCTCACGCGACTCACCGATCTCCCGAGCCATGGCCAAGCCTTGAGGATAGGTGATGGGGGCCAGTTTCTTATCACGTAACCTTTCAATGGTGTCCTTATCATCCCTCAAGTCCAGCTTGGTGCCCACCAGGATAATAGGTGTATTTGGGCAATGGTGTCGGACTTCAGGGTACCACTGAAACAGAGAGGCATGATGAGAAAAGTAGTTATATGAGTGGCCATAACCATAAGGATCCATTTCTACTGTTGGGAATGAAGAGGTTCACTACTGACATGGTGGCAACACCTGAATAGGATACTGCTCCTACAGTTCTGATATGCTCTGCAAAAAGAGACTGGTGCAGATGTAATAATGAACTCACCAAGACAGAGAATCCTGACAGACACTGCCAGCCAACACTGTGCACAGTGCTTTCCTTAACTGCATGTTAGCTTTTAAGATATCCCTTATCTTAAAACACAGATTCAGAAAGGCAATAACCTAGCCAAAGAAGTCATTAATAAAAAGCAGGCTCCACTTAAAACCTGCAGACTATGATTTTTCTTCACCAAAACATTATTGCTTGAAGTTTTGGGCTTGTAGGTGTGGTGCTGGGTGGGGCAGGGAATGTCACTGGTTCTTCCCTTATACTGTTTCACCCAGGAGGAGAATACTTTACCTTAGCTCGGACATTCTCAAAGGAGGCTGGGCTCACAAGGGAGAAGCAGATCAAGAAAACATCCTGTGCAGAAAGAAGAGGGTCAGCTGTGCAGACAGAAGCAGCTAGAGTAAAGGGAGGCTGCAGAGGGAGCCTGAGAAAGGACAACCTCCTCCCACAAGCAAGGGCTGCTGTGGCCATAAGAAATTCTTCCCCATTAAGGGTGTTAAACTAATTCAGAGAGGGAAGAAATGGACCATGAGTGTGTATGATTACATCTTCTTTCACAATGCTGGGCTCTGTATGTTAAGAGCCTGAGGCCTCAAACATCTTAACAGCACTAAGGGCTTCACCAGCAGCACAGCTGCTTAGGAACTGCTACACCCAGAAACACTCCTAGGGCAGCCCAACGGGGATATGCCCTGCTGAGAGAATGGGAACATGGAACTGGCTAGGCTGCACAGCAGCCCTACAGCATTCCTTCTACTTGAGCCTCCCTAGGGCACCCGTAACTCTTCAAAGATCATCACAAAGAAAAGACTAGAACAGGACAATGTCTTAGGAGAAAATCAGCTGTGATACTTCTTAAACAACCAGAATTATGGGTGTAGCTGCAGGAACTCAGACTCTCCTCCAAGGAAGGAAGCATGCCTGTCCTTGGGAGCCTCCCCGTCCCCGAGAGGGAGCAGTCCCCAGGCAGTCCAAGCCCAGCACTCACCGTCTGTGGATAGGAAAGAGGCCGCAGTCGGTCATAGTCTTCTTGCCCTGCTGTGTCCCAGAGGCCCAGGTTCACTGGCTTTCCATCTACCATCACATTGGCAGAATAATTATCAAACCTGCCAATGAGGAGTCCCAGTCAGTGACAATTTTGTGGTGACCTTCACATCTTTGTACAGAATTCAAAGGGGCAGTGAATCAGGAAAGGATACTGCAGCACAGTTCCAGTGGGGACAATCTGCCTTCCTCACACACACAGCCACAGCACCACCCTTACCTGTCAAGTTCACAGTCTGATTTGCAACAGCCACCTCCTCACACACAAACCAAACTTCTACACACACAAGCATAGAGATCAAAAAGCAACTGAAGCCCAAGCCATTACTTACACAGTGGGAATGTATTCTCCAGGAAAGGCATTTGTGGTGTAACTGATCAGCAAGCAGGTCTTCCCTACAGCTCTGCAGAGGGTAAGAGTGACAAGCATAAGGAAGGGTACAACATGGAGCACTAAGGCAGTAAAACTCACTCTTCCCACACTGAAAACACATGGTTAGGTAAAAAGCTACCATATGAGGAAAACAAACCTGTTGCAGGCTGGAATCCCCCAGTTGTCACAGATATGGCCTGAACTCAAAAGGTGCACCTTGCCTGAGTGCTTCCTAACCCTGCTCTCTACCACTCCTTTTCCCTACCCATTCATCAAAACATCAGTCAAAATAATACTGGTTTCACGAACCAAGAGGGGGAATAAATTAGAGTTGTGTGCTGGGCTCAACAGATGCACAGTACTTCAGCAAAATGGATAAACAGTGAGGTTAAAAGCACACAACAGTGCAGATTTGCAAGCTTCTCAGATACAGGAATTCAGTATTAATAAACACAAAGGAGAAAAAGTAAGTATCCATAAACAAAAATGGACTTTAAAATTGACTGCAGGCAGTTTGGAAAAGATTAGTGAAAAAGGATAAAAATACCAGCTCAGGACTTTGCTGAAGGTTGGTGGGATTGGTCAGCCCGGCAGCGGCAGCTGGCAAGGGCCAGGCCAGCAATAGAATGAGCACAGGGCCTTTAACCAGCTCTGCAGATTTCCTAAGCTTCACTGTAGGAACAGAGGAGTACCAGCAGTGTGAGCTACCTTTGTATCATGGAGAAAGCTGTGTACTGCAGACAACATTCCAGAAGGAGACTGTGAGTGCCAGTGCCAGGGAAAGCTGGCTTTGAGGTGCCTGGGTGAAGCTGAACAGCCAGCAGAAATGGGTATCCCCTACCTAACTCTGCAGCCAGACTGACCTAAGAGCGGGTGTCAGAAGAGAGGAAGAGAGTTGACATCCCCTGCACACACCAGCATGACAGAAAGCACAGGGAGAACAAACCACTATTACAACTTTTCCTTTGGATTAGGTCCCCTCGGTCTGAGAAGAAAGAAGTTTTGCCATGAACCACAAGGCTGACTGGTCCAACTTTCCTCCTGAAGTGTGACTTCAGTTTCCCACCAAACAGGGACAATTGTAATTCACAAAAACCTGTGTATCTATGTGTTTCTTTCAGTCTGCACTACTGATTTAGTCTTAAGGCAAAACACAGGACGGCAAACCTTCAGCTGAGCTCCACTTACGACATCCTGAGCTCCCAGTCATTCTCCCCTCTGCAATAAGGCTGTACTTTCTCCTACTCCCTTTCAGCCTTCACAGGCTGGAACCTGGAAGGCCTCACCACAAATGTGTATTTGAGGGGATGGCATGCATGAGAAAGGGAAAGCCTAGTCCCTGCCTAAGACCAGTTCACATTTAGGTCTGAGTACCTCAGCTCTTGCTGAGGTACCTCCGTTCTTGCTGAGGCGATCAGAAAAGTAAGCTGAAATTGTGAGGAAAAATATGCAGGATGAACTGGGAAAGTTACAAAGCAGTATAAATCTAGTGCATGCCTGCATCTTGCAGGCAGATGTGTTCCCAAAAAAGAAGGCATTAAGGAAGAGCCTTAACAAAAAAGTAAAAAGGGCCACAAGGAGCACATGGTGAAACTAGAAAGAGAAATGCATTTCACCTCGGAACAATCAATAATAGGACATACGAGACCTGCGATCATCAAGATTTTCGGAGGACTCTGTCAGGAATCAAGTAGGTACAATGAAAAATAGCAAAATACCGGCACCCAAATGAAACAACAAGGAGACAAACGTAAAACCCAGGAGGAGGCTGTGTTTGCTACTCAGGCAGCACCCAAGTTCACGAACCACGAAAGGAGCAGGGCAGGGTTGCGGGGCCGCCGCAAGGCCCCCCGCTCCCGCCGGGACGCCCCGGCAGCCCCGCTCCCGCCGGCCCGGCCCCGCCCGAGCCAGGCCCCGGTGGAGCCAGGCCGAGCGAGCCTCGCCGCCCGGCGCGGGGCCTGCCGCCGGCGGAGCGGCTCTGCCGGGCGCTGCCCCGGGCCAGCCCGCCCTCCCTCGTCCCCTCGGCGCCGCCCGGTGCGGGGCTGC